ACACACACACACACACACACATATATATATATATACTATAATATCGTATATATACTTATATACTACTAATACCTAATAATTAATGTAATATTAGCTATTGGTATATATATATATATATATATATATACACGCATATTATAGACATATATATATATATCTATCTATAGATCTATATATACATATATATATATATATATATATATGCATGCGTGTTTGTGTAAAACTACGCTTTCAAGTTTGACTTGTCGACAGCTTGAAACGGATATCAAGTACAGACATCTTAAACGTGTAAGAGTAACCGTATCAAGCAGTGCGATATATAGCAAAAATAACACTTGTTACTCATTAAACAGACTAAATAGTTCGCGTGGGGTTGTAAAGTGAGTTTTGACGCATGCGTAGACATTACGAGTATTGACTTACTCGTAACTGCATAATTGTAGAAAGCATTTGTAGACGATTATTAGGGGAAGCTTCTAGTGTTCTTATCTGAGGACATTTCCAATCATTTCGCTGTTTTTTTAGATACAATGCTTTATTAGAAATTTTCAGCAAGTATCGTTTTCTAAAAGGAAATCATCCGAGATATTTATAGATCATAGCATAAATTGAGCATCATGACCTAATTTCGGGGAAAAGAAGCAGATGTATGCATGCAAGTACGAAATATTTAGATAGCAATAGGTTACGTGCCTAAATACGTATACGTGACCCATGTACTATACTTGAAACCATAACATTTTAAAGCGGATGTTAGAATGATGTACGGTAGTAAAGGGAAATTTATTACTATACTTTCATTTAAAATCATAGATCAGTGAGTCACCACAATTGAGTTTACAATGACAAAGAGACAGTGTCTAGCTTTTGTGTGATCATGTTTATTGTGTCTGTACAAGTGGCTATATAGCGGGGACAATATATACTCTCTAAGGCCCATCGCACGAAGCAGAGCACTACAGTGTCTATACAATGTCCGTTTGTCACACCAGTACAAATTGAACCTCATAAACACGAATTCATTGCGCATAGCTAATAGTCGTGTAGTTAAAGGTCCGTGTTATAGGCCCTTTTAGCCTAGGCAAGCATAAATCATGGCTGCACGTTTGTGCATGCCACCCGCAACTTTTGTCCTGAGGCGAAAGCGAGAGAGGGCAATTAAGGCAGTTGCCTGGCCGCTTCCCACCCACATATGCAGTCGGTTGCCGAAGCCAGGCGATCAGCAGCGAGATGGAGTCTCCCCGACGGCAGTGCGATTGCTTTCCGCATCCAATTGTAACAAGGCTATCCTGCTAAAACCAGCGAATCGTGCCTGATGAAAAACACATGGACACCACCGCGTTTCTACTCCGAAAGTAGTAAAAAAGTACATTACGGCATAGATAGTCTACTATCGAGTAATTGAACTTGGATATTAGGAACGGGCTGATTGCAGATCCGCCGAGGGCAGCTTCGGAACAGACTCGGTGCTACTCCAAACTGCAACCGATATAGCGTTGCCTAGGTAACGCACACGGAAACTAAGGAACAGAGCTCTGGGCTGTACAAGTGATACCCACAAAACATCTGCCAGCGCTTCCTCTGCCGGTGATTCCACGACTTCTCAGAACTTCTCCCACAGTTTTCCAGTGGATGCTATAAAAGAAAGCAACGACTTCAGCCATACGACTTTGATAAACAGCGAAACGCTTTATGTGATGCTGATGTGGCGGTTCTCATTGAAATATGACGGAGAATACATTGCGGGCGTTTGTACTGAAGCAGTTACTTAGATCACTGCTTTCAACCGGTGCGTTGCATTTGGTTCTCGTAACCCTATTTGCATTGAGGTAAGTTTTTTCATTTTTTTCATTTTTTAAAAGTTTACTTTGTTACCATTTAGCGACCGACGCCTTAAACCCAACCACTATATAGTGCATCGTAAACGCTGGCGCCTTCATATTATTACCTATGCGCTCAGGATTATTTTAATTTAATATGAATTGGTTGCTACATATCCTGCTTGTTCTGCGGCAATTTACAAAATGTCGCCAGTCACATGTGCTACAAAACCGAGCAAAGATCTTACTTTGTAATGGGCTATATACGATTCTTCTACAACTATAAATCAAGGTAGGCGACCATAGTAAGCGGTAACGTAATTACTCGACGTGTATGTGGGTGCTATGCGATGCGTAAAGCGCTCTTACACGGCCCGTGAGAACCATAGCGGGCTAATTATACGTTGCAGGTACACAGGTAATTTACAGAACAAGTGTAGCTGTAATTTCAGAGTTCAGATATACCGGCCGTCCACTTTCCTCCGGCGTTGTGTGTATAGTAATACGGGCGCCTGAATTCGAATTCCTACCCCTCCTAACCAGTCAATTATATGCATACGATTGCATTAACGGCAAACGAACGCCCGTACAATTGATGGTTAGACATAATTAGATAGATACCTGACAGAATCAATTATCTTGTGTTCATGCTCAACTGTATTTCATATTCAATCAACAATAAGTATTTTCATAACTTATATATTTAGAGAAAAACAATTTGACACCAAATATCAAGACATCGTTATTCATATTCATATTTTTACTATCACTTTATTTGCCTACCCATTTTTTTACGTCTCCCTGCTAATCGCTTCTGATCGATTGGAGTGTTTTCTTCATAAATAATAAGCGCACAGGCAGACGGTAATCTGAAGATTCAGGAAAGCTTGTGGGCTTAAGTAAAGTAAAAGTTAAGCTTATAGTAAATGGTGTGCCTGGCAGTAACGAATGATACAACGTGTTTAACAACTACGCGATTCGATAATAATACTGAATGTATGGACATATATTGCTCTCTTGGATGTCATTCGTGGGAATATTTAAAACATTGACTAAGCACTTTTAAAATTTATTAAATTGTCTGACGCTGCATTTATAAATAAATGCATGTTTCTAAAAAATACAATGTAATTATGTCAGGATATGATACTTTATGAAACCGCAATAAATTACCAAAAATATATACATGGCTTTATGTCTGAAATGTTATTCTAAAGATTAAACAACCCGTTGTGCAATATTATGACTGGTACCGTTTTACAGATAGGAATCTGTTTTCGTGGATCATGCATCAAGAATCCATTTCCGCATGTATTTATAACATCAATGTTGCGTGTCTTAGCAAATGGCGCTTCATCTTTCATAATTTGGATTAGGCTACATATATGGTATGATACAATAAAATATTAGAAGGTAATGTATTTTGCGGAAGCATTTATTACGTCTTTCACATTTGCGTTACGATGAAATACGCTGTGGCATCTTTCAAGACGCATACCATTTATGTCGTAATGTCTGTTTAACGTCATTACGGCGAAACTCGTGCGTCCGTGAACAGTATTTTTAATTGATCGTTAAAGTGTGAGTGTAAGAGAGGGCGTAGATTGAACTAGCTGGAAACGCAGCATGCCCGCCAGATTAGTACATAGCGAGTATGTCGGGAATTTACTACTTGTCGACAATCTCTGGTCTTCTCTGACAGCCGTCTACGTGCATCCCCCTTCACCCACACAGCCATCAGCGCGAATCTCTTCTCCTCCCCTACAGTCGTCTATCTATACCCCTTCTCTACAGCCGCTTACGTGTACCTTCTTTGCTACAGTCGTCTATCTATACCTCTTCTCTACAGCCGGCTACGTGTACCACCTCCCCTACAATCGTCTATCTATACTACTTCTCTACAGCCGCCTACGTGTACATTCTTCGCTACAATCGTCTATCTATACTACTTCTCTACAGTCGCTTACGTGTACCACCTCCCCTACATTCATCTATCTATACCCCACCCCTTCTCCCAGACAGCCATCTACGTCTACTCATCTCTTGTTCACAGCCGTCTAAACGTGAGACCTCCCCTTCCCGCCAGCCGTTAAACGCGTGGCTTCCATACTCGTGTGTTACGAGCTGTCGCTTCATATTGCTTCTTCCCGCCACGTAAATCATGCTTCATGAGTTCCTGTTTGATATTATGCTCTAACGTAGATAGGACAAATACGGATTGAGAGTAGTAAAGGAGGGAGATTAGGGGCAAAGTTAGAGTGAAGGAGAATGATAAAAGAGCGGGATAGTGGAAAAGAATTGGATAATAACTAAAGGTAAAATTGAATTTGCGCAGTGTAGAAATTAGGTCAGATGTATGAAGAAGAGCAATCTAACAGTAATATAACATAAAGTAGACAAACATATGACTATGATACCCACTATTCTATACGCATACATATAGATAAGTAAATGTATTTTTAATTTTCGTTGGCAAATCAGACATACCTATTTTGAATACGTCAGTTAAACATTGACGCGCATTACACGCGTTATGCGTGACATAATCACATTTTCCCTCTTTGTTTCAGTTTAATCTGTGATGTATCATACTGCAAAAAAAGCCGACGAAGATGGAAGAGCGGGAGGCTCGATGTTCTGACGCCAGTAATAGCTGCAAACACAGCTTGTGCAACATTCCCCGAACTATCCCGTCCACAGACACAGCTCTGCGAGAAATTTCCGGATGTGACGCACTCCGCTATTGACGGAGTACAGATGGCTATCACTGAATGCCAATATCAATTCCAAAAGCACCGGTGGAACTGTTCTTCCTTGGACACAAAGAGCAGGACATCGTTTAATAACCCTATTCTGATGAAAGGTTAGTATACGCCCATACACATTATGTTAATCGAGTAGCATAAAAGGTATCGGTTAATGCTAGAAATATTCAACTACTGGACATGCACACCGCCTAAATCATGAAATTTTGTCTCTAATTTTGCATTTTTGCTAACGCTGTTAAGGCAATGCTTTTTTGCTTTTTGGCTAATGCTGACAAGGTTGGTTATTTGGCGACGTACCCTAGATTTTTATTCAAGTATAGTCGAGCAGTAACCGACAGGCCAATATTCACTACGTCACTAACTGCATGGCAATGTTATTATCTATAATTATATTTTATACGTTATTTAATTATCGTCGCATACACGGAATCACGCGTTTTTGCGCCCATATAAGCGCAACGTTATTTTTAAGAAAACGTGAAATATACGTCATTCAAAATATTACGTATCATTAAAGCTGTCGTGTGTAAGTATATAAGAATGGCTCTAGATTTTCATTTCCACCGTGTACGCTCGATACTGAACAGCTGGAGTGAAGAGAGAAAAAGTCGTCTGCTCGTTCGCTCTCTTGCCCTATCGCTATCGTCTGCATGTGGTCTCTCTCGCTATCGCCTGCACGACTTGTTTGTGTGACTTGTGAAGCCTGGAATGCAGAGTTGTAGATGATGCACTTCAGGATGTCCCGCGCTTATCTTCATAACATCGGGCTTCAGTGAGCGCGTTTATTTAATCTCTGATGTGTGGGGGCACCTTGAAGTGTTAGTCGAGCAGTCTCTACTGTATAGAATGCGTGCCCGTGGTACGTCGACGTTGTACGTACGTACGTGAGCATCCGTTCTACTGGTTGAAAGAACAGTGATATGTGTTTTGTTATTGCGATCCATGCAGTCCTAAGTGTCAGTGTCTAGATGTTTTACCTACATGTCGAATAATTTTAATCGATTGAATAATAGCGAAATCAACGATGTGGATTTTGCCGACTGTTTTATTATACAGGTTATATCACGGTTCTCATACGAACCACATTTTGCGTTAACAAATTCCTTATATCGCTTATTTATTCGATACGAAATGTGTATCGTATTAAATAATGGAATATTTATATTAATACATAAATATTCTTAATATATAATAAAATAATAATATTTCATGTTAAAAAGTATTAAATGACTGTATAAATCAATAACCAAGTAAACTGATAACAGAAATCAATCAATTTCTTTATTTCCAGGATTCAGAGAAACGGCATTTGCTAATGCCATATCATCTGCTGGCGTAGTATACCACGTGGCGCGAAGTTGTAGCCTCGGCAACCTGTTATCCTGCTCCTGCCAGACGGACATGGGCAAGCCTAGAAAGAAAGAGGTGCGACAGATAACACAAGATTCGCCAAATCAGCAGTGGATCTGGGCTGGGTGTCATGACAACGCAGCTTTCGCGTCAGCGTTTGCCAGAGAGTTTCTTGATTCGAAGAAGTCTCGAGCGAGCGATCTGCAGTCTAATGTCAACACGCATAACAAGAAAGCCGGGAGATTGGTGCGTACATACATATCTATCTATCTATCTATCTATCTATCTATCTATCTATCTATCTATCTATCTATCTATCTATCTATCTATATAGTAGAAAAGTTCTTGGATTTCACGATATTCAGTTGTTTACATTTGAAAAAAGAGTAACCCGACATTCCGTTATACACTAGCGCTTTCGCCTTTTATCTAGCGCAAAGAACTAATGAAATCGCTAGTGTATAACAGAATGTAATAATATTCTTTTTTAAATATATATATATATATATTTTTTGTTCATGCTGGCTAATTCCGCATGCAGAGTAGTTTCATGGTCATCCCGCATATATCAATGTGTAATTGCGTCATTGCTGCGTCGACTAGCGCCCAAAAATATGTCGACATTAAAACAAAAAATAATACATGATATATAGATGTATATAAATACACTACTATAGTGCCGCTGCAAGCTTTAAACATTCTGCGCATTTATAAAATATGAAGAAGTTAGGAATTCAACGTCATACTTGATCGAATAATAAATAGGCTTACAGTGTTCATATTCTCATCCGACAGTACACAGTGCATGGAATGCACATTATGAGCGCATATGTCTTAGCAGAAACTCAGTACCCACCTTAAGATGTACGAATCAATGTATGGCTTATTATATCACAAACATAAATTGGAACGCATAAAGATAATATATTACGCATATCGGATCGATAACCTCGGAGTTATAGCGATATTCGATAGCGGAAGTTCGTTACTTTCAGCTATAGCTCGAACAACGTATTAACGCTTGGAAACACCATTTAAAAGCTGAATATTTGTAGAAGTATGTCTTTACAAATGATGAGGAATCATATATTATGTATATGTTTAATTATAGATTATCTATATTGTCTCTCTCTGCCCCCCTCTCTTTTTCTCTCCACACACACACACACACACATACACACACACACACACACACACACACACACACACACACACACACACACACACACACACACACACACACACACACACACACACACACACACACACACACATATACGTATATATATATATATATATTTCGTGCCAGTTAAATAATATCCATAACATGCCGTTTGAAACCATGAATATAGTTAGGCCTACTCACCAGAATTTATGTAACAATAGTAGGAAATAAAGAACGATCACACATTATTGCATACGCGAATCACATCTGATCGGTGACAGAGGCCAACCCTACGGAGTACAAAGACGTAAATTTACGATTAAATCACGGCTTTACTGCGTTACTAAAAGCTATCATTCGCCTGTATAGTAAATTAATAGTATCGCGTAATTTCTGCCGTAATGTAATGACGAAGGATGCTGACGTGATAGCTGACGCGGGATTGCGTGGCAGCTACGCACATTTTAGTGACGTGTTCGTGGCAGTACACATCGTATCCTTTTACCCACCGTAGCCATTCGTTCCCTGTAAAGATCATTGATATTCATGTATCAACAAGTGAGCTAGGGAATATCACGTTGCGTTGTGTCGTGGATCAGCTGTGTTTACAGGTTCAAATAGATACTGTTGCAGCATCTGAGTAAAATAAACGGCCCCGTTACGGTTTCACGCATGCTGTGTGGTTACACATTCACGTGGCCGATGGGTCTGGTGCCTGCCTTTAGTAATGTTACTATGACAACCGTCATTATATAGATCTATAGACATGTGTAACTTGTACAATAAAAATTCACGCGGCCACACTTACTTAACACACAACCAAGCTTACAGCTGCATGAGTGCGAAATCTCAAACGTGCTTTATAACGATGTCAATAGCTGTGATCAATTTTAATTTTGGTTTGTGTATATTCTGCGCTGCAGAATTACATTTAACTCTTTCTAACTCAAATAATAATTTATTAGATTGCAAGCACATTATACATCCCTTGCATAATTTCGAAAACAGTATAGCGATGGCATAAACGAGCATGAGTAATTTTATTATAGAGTCCCCCATGTATATCACCATTATCGAACAAACAGACAATAGTTTTCCCGAGTTGATCGCTAAATTAGCCAGTTTAACTGTCATTTCATATCAAATTACAATAAAAAACTAACGCTATGGACCTGTGTGTGTGTGTGTGTGTGTGTGTGTGTGTGTGTGTGTGTGTGTGTGTGTGTGTGTGTATGTTGTGTGTGCTGTGTGTGTGGTGTGTGTGTGTGTGCTGTGTGTGTTGTGTGTGGTAGTGCGCGTGGTGATGTGTGGCGTGTGTGCGCGTTAGCGCGCGCAGTGTGTGTGGTGATGTGCATCGTGCTTGTTGGCATGGGTGTGTGTCTGTGATGCGCGCCTATGTGCGTGTTAATGTGTGCCGTGTGTGGCTGTGGTGTGTGTTGCGTTTGTGAACTGTATTGGACGAGAAGAGGAAAGCGAGAGAGCTACATAGAAGCCAATAGAGTGATGCTTGGTTGATTATTGTATTATTATATTATTATTATTATCTAGTTCTTGTTATTATGTAGACGTGCATCAAAGGTGCATATCGCTACATATTCATATCGCTCGGCGAGAAAAATATTGGCTCGATTTTAAAACTACCGAGGAGCCATTGGGTGTGTCACCGATTGGCGTGCACGCGTTACTCAACAAATCGCAACACAGGTTGCGTAAACGGATGTAAAGTTGTAGCCGGTCAAAAATTTATGCCGCTAAGCCATATCTACTAAAAGTTAGCGTGTATAGGTTTTTAACGGGATTTAAAGGCACGCTATGTGGAAGCGAGCGCGACAGCTTGACTAGCACGCAGAATACACGGGCAGAGGTTTTTTGGCCACAGCCCAGCTGTGCCATTAAAAGCTTTTACGCGTCCATGTGCAAAGTAAATCGAGATATTTTGCGGGATTACCAACTGAGTGTTGGCTGAGACGCATCTATCTCCGTTTGTAGAACTATAAAATGTTTATCTTACCCTCTCTTCGAGACAGTTGCCGCTTGGGTCGCGTCAGCCACGCTGAGCGAACGGGCGCTGCTATACAGTGATGATCTTAAACACCGTACCAATTTGTTATTAACACATATAAAACCATGGGAAAAAAACGTGGTTGGCGTATATTTTTGTGGGGATGCACGGTAATGCAGTACGAAGTGTTAAAGCAGAATTACATCTATAACCGTGAATTGCGATGATTTTCTTACCTTGTATCTCGTAGTTTGCTAAATTACATGCCCATAAAACATTTCAGATTAACACATTCCTTGGGCTTAACTGTGCTCTACAAGTAGAGATAACTGCGCTGTGATCGATATTATATAGGTGAATTACTAAAGATGATTTCGAGAGCTTGACACAGAAAATTCAGGCGGTAGCGCGGAAGGAACGAATAAAATATCGAATTTGAACGTCGTTCCATATTAGCTTTAGCGCTTTAGATGGACGGAATAGGGGTTTAACGGTTGGCACCATAACCTAATGAGTACTATATGTATTACTGGTGATACTTAAAACAGTACGACAATACCATACACAAATCATGGAACGTCTACATATCTCATAGCGTGAGATTTAGCGGCAATTAGAAAAATTATTTTAAAATTCAATTATAATAATAATCATAATAATAATAATAATAATAATTATTATTATTTAAGAAATGATTTAATAAACAATTACGTTAAACAGAATTCGGAACATGTGCTGTGTGTGTGTGTTGTGTGTGTGTGTGTGTGTGTGGTGTGTGTGTTGTGTGTGTGCGCGCGCGTGTGTGTGCGTGTGTGTATGTATGTATGTGTGTGTGTAATGTGTGTGTGTGGTGTGTGTGTGTGTGTGTGTGTGTGTGTGTGTGTGTGTGTGTGTGTGTGTGTGTGTGTGTGCATGTGTACGTGCATGCGTGTGTGCGCGCGCGTGTGTGTGCATGTGTGTGTGTTTTTGTTTGTATATCTTGACATGATGATTACCTAATTGTTAGAAGACTGGCTTCTTTCAATCTGATATCTATGGAGTATAACCGACGCGAGAGGAATATTTGTTAATGGTTATATTACCGGCAAGAATGTACTGGTGCAGTATGATTGGCAATAAGACGTTTGAATTTTCAATTGTTCTACTATCTCATATAGCAAACTTGCAAGTATAGTTATTGATAAGAGGACATTCCACCGTGATAAGGTGATCGTCATCTATTCTGGTAGTGAAGCATCTAGATTGAAGCAATCACAGCGAGAGCGTACGTGCAAAGTGTAGTAACAAAGTGTTTAACAAATGCTGTGTTTCATAAATACTGCTAGTGCAGAGTTGTTTGTTTGTCGTGGAAATAGCAAGCACTGGATATCTCGTGAAAGGTCAGGGGAATTACATACCTAGCCTTAGGTTCGTTTTGTGAATCGACTAAGACAGTTTATTTAAAGCCTGCCTAGGGTGATATGACGGCGATGTTATACGGTGTAAAATATATACGTTACAGTTATACATACGAAATTTTTGTTTATTGAAACCATGGGAGGGATGCGCTTCTAGCTTTGTACAGAGTTCTCAGAAGAAAAAAAGGGTCACAGAATTATTGAAAAAATTCGCAACCTTATCTATAAGCAGCGGCGCACGTAAACGGCTGCGGCTCAGACATCACGTGGAGCACATCTGGAGGCGGTTCGACTACGCTCGCTCTCCTCGTAACTGCAACACTGCCTGCACCTTTATGCCGCCACAAACACCTCGTAAAGCGGAAGCTCGAATATAGAGAAACCTTGTAAAGCGTGCCACGAGATGTTTGTTGACCCATGGCGAGAAAGCGGAACTCGCGCCAGAAGATTAACACTTGGCTAGGTAATATTTGCAGACGATCGACTTAAATACGAGCTTATATGGCAGCGTCAGTATTTTAATAGCGGTATAGTCTAAATACTCTACTCCACGTTTCTAGAAAGTAAATGTGTAAAGTTTACATCATATCTCCTGATCATATGTCCGGGTGTATACGCTTGCTTTACGAACTAAGCGTGATAACTGAGACAGGGGATTATCGCAATGTATCCATCAATAAAAAAGCAGTTGAATGTTTTGTTTTAGATCCCCCCCAAAAAAGTTGGCAAGATGATAGAGTGTGAGCAATACACACGCGCACGCTCGCGCACGCTCGCGCACGCATGCACGCACACGCACGCACACGCGCTCACGCACGCCGCGCTGCGGCTTATATAGAAAGTGCTCGGTATGCGAAATTAAACACTTGTAAAATAATTACTGCCGGTTTCAAGACGCAAGGCTGCATGCCACAAAGATGCTGATACAAGGTGATGTAGTACTCTATATGCTAGATGTAATCATCAAGTAATAATAACATGGTGAGTGGCTATGCACGATGTATCAGATGTCAGTCTGAATTGGAAATGCTCTAGGTCAAACACTGGGGCATGTATGTTTATATGCGTATAGTCTATATATATATATATATATATATATAATGTTTATAGCACGTTATACAAGCCTATCACATCATTCACATAATTTCGTTGCCATAATAAGGCAATTAATAACGGCAATTAATAATCGAACAACGGCAGCAATGTAATTGCGGTCGACTGGCCCCGTACATGGGTGGCGTGTGCGAGTTTCACCACATAGGGAATTCCTTATTATCTACTTCTGATATATATATATATATATAATGTATATATATTTATATCAAGAGTAGATAATATAACAAGTTATATTATCTACTCTTGATTTATATATATATAGAGAGATGTAATTTATTCCTGTGTGTGTGTGTGTGTGTGATGTATGCGCGTGTATACGTTACGTGTGCGGGCCTGCGGGTGAGCGTGTGTGTATGCGTGTGGGCATGTGCGCGGGCCACATATATATATATATATATGTGTGTGTGTGTGTGTGTGTGTGTGTGTGTGTGTGTGGTGTGTGTGTGTGTGTGTGTGTGTGTCGTGTGTGTGTGTTGTGTGGTTGTGGTGTTGTGTGGTGTGGGTGTTGTGTGTGTGTGTGTGTGTAGGTGGTGTGTGTGTGTGTGTGGTGTGTGTGTGTGTAATGTGTGTGTGTGTGTGTGTGTGTGTGTGTGTGTTGTGTGTGTGTGTGGCGTGTATTGCGTGTTTTGTTGTGCGCGCGTGATGCTTGTTTATGTCGCTGCGCGCGTGTTGTATGTACATTGGCTAGCACTGATAGTTATCGATAAACTTGTCTTTCGGCCGCTTCGACAGACAATATTAAATATAGCGTTACTCTTAGTGTTTTAACTCCAATAACTACAATACTATTGTGTTGAATACGTGTCGCTAGAAATACATGGTCGTCTAGAAATACGTGTTGTAGAATTATTGCAAGACGTCGAACTTGCCTTATTGTCCCTGTAATATAAACACTGTGGCAAAACTATATTGTATGTTGCATATGTACGCTGGTATTCGTCTCTCTCTTACATCTGCTCTCCTCTCTCTCTCTCTCTCTCTTTCGTCTCTCTGCTTCTCTCTCTTCTACTCTCTCTGTACTCTCTCAAGCTCTCTCTCGGCTCTCATCTGCTCTCTCTCGCTCTCTCGCGCTTCTCTCTCTCTTCCTCT